CCCCCCCGGCCACGTCCCCCAGGGCTGGCTGAGCCGCCCCAGCGCTGGCAGGGACCCTGCGGGGGACACGTGGGGCAGCGGGGCTGTCCCCTCTGCCTGCTTCGCCTCCCCCGGGCTGGGGGGCAGCCATCGATGAAAGTGCAAAGTGAGACTTGGGGTATGGAGGAGCACTGGAAGCTGGACACTGCAATGAGCAACCATGAGACCCCCAAAATAACCCTCCCACCGCCCCCCCCGACACACACACACGCGCACACACACACACACACTCACGTATTGAGACATCGGTGACCACGCGGGGTGGAAACAGCGTATTCTCAGGCACTCCATGGGGAAAATACCAGCCCACCCCCATTGCCCCCACACCAGTTCCATGGCCATTGGCGGCCCCATCCCTGGCCAGGAGCAGCTCAAAACAGGGGACCAGGTGGAGGGGAGGGCACCAACTCAATCCAGCGTCCAAAAGGCCAGAGGAGAGACCGCAGGGCTCCTCCAGCCACCACCATCCTCCATCTCCTTTATTTTCTTGCATGCTGCATTCCCTCCCCCGCGGCCAGGGCTGGGGGAGATGCTTTGCTCCTTTCCTTCTGTTCCCCCAGTGGCTGACCGACTGTGGCTGGGGGGGGTCCCGCTCTGCTTCCCTCCGACTCCCCTCAGGCAGCTCTGCCCGAACAGGCAGCAGAGGCAGGGGAAGGGGTGCAGGAGAGGAGCACTGCCCTACCGACCCTCCACCATCCTTCCTCAGCCTCCCTCGGGCTGCGCTTGAAAAACCAGGGCAGCAGAAGAGGGGATGGGGCCAGTGGGGGAGATGCTCACAACCATTTGGTACGGGCTCACAAAACGAGATAGTGGGGCACTAGAAATAAATAAGGAAAGGGGATGTGCTCGGGGGATGCCCGCACGCTGGCATCCCACCAAGCCTGGACCATGCTTGGGGTGGATGGAGGTCTCCTTCCCACTCCCCATTGGGGCAAAAAGGGCAAGGACCCTCAATGTACAG